ATCACCGGCGCTTAACTCTCTAATCAAACAGATCACAAGATGGGATCTTCGGGGAGAAGGTAAGCCAGGGTCTGAAAAGAGACCTTTGGAGTATAACGAGTACATGAATATTCTGAAAATAAATCAAATTGCTTTATTTCACATAATCGTCTTTGTTGCAACCATCGCCTTAAAAATAGCCTTTTTTTTTCCACCTTATCATAACTTTTTTTCTAAAACTAGCCTTTGCTCCACACACTTGTCTTGTTCCTTTCAGGAGTTTAACTCACTGATGACCTCCATGACGGCCCATGACATGCGCAACACAAAGGACAATGGACTTGGACTTTCCAGTTTGTATGCAGGGTCGACGATGTGTGCAGCGTCAAATATGAGGATTATAAAGTATATAGCAGGTTGCCCTTGTTGTCTATTCATAGAGGTGGTGCAAAGTAAAAACATAAATAGTAAAAAGCAAGTGTCTCGACAGCTAATACTGGGATATATGGATACATACCTGTGTGCACTGGCGGGTCTCACAGTGCATCTGATTCGGATTTATTACTAGAGTGGATGTTCGCAGAGAACGGTATGACGGGTAGGGATAATAATTTAGAAACTGATTATCCGAGAGCTGCGCTTAAGCGTATTACTGCGCTTGACGAGTTTGAAGCTATGGGCTCAGTGACTTATACTGTAACTCATAGCTTTCGCAAATACCCATGTACTAATATACACAGCGCAAGGGTTCTACAAAGGATGATGCAGAGGGTAGGGGAAGGTGGGCGTTGAAAAGGGACGGAGAGCTAAGACAAAGGAAAAAATGACAAGTGGACACATACAGTAGTAACCTTATGCCGTACCCTGACACAAAGGTATCAGTATGAAACTTTGTTTCACGTCCCTTGTCTCGAGCCTCAGTCGCGTGTTTACGTCGCAACTCGGTGTACAGGTTCTCACGGTCGTTATTCCCTATGTTCTTACAGGACACGTGCATAACCAGGAACTCGTACCATCGCTGTGCCTTGTCCTTTGTTATATCTGAACGTTTCAGGTCAGCATCTAGCTTCAGAATATAACTCTGAATGAACGTGTTCTCAACTGGTTCAGTTAAAATTGAACTCAGTCCAGGGCTACGCATGTCTTTACTTAACAAGGATGTAACCAACCAACACACAGCTGGCCAGTCACGACAAGTGTCTAGCTCATGCTGGTGTCGCTGCAGGATCAAATAACTTGTATCTGTAGGGTTAAACGTCTGCATTAAAGCAGAGATCCATTGCCGGGGAGCGATATCATTCGTCTCCAGCATCACCGTAAACGCATTAAGCGTACGGGTTAGCGTGTCGAGGTCATGGTTGTTACAAACTCGACCTGCTTACTGTTGGCATCCCAGTTCGACTTAAGTCGACTGATCTGTCCCTTGTACTTCTGGTTATCCCTGTGGTCTTGTCCACGTTGGGCCTGAAGTAATTGATCAATGCGCTTTTGCCCACGATTTCCATTTCAATGATATAATCGTCGACTGATTTGTTAAGTTCGGTTACCTCGTCAGAGTGAAAATCCTCTGCGGGTTGATGCGTTTACGGGAGTGTTTATTACCCCTTGTAAAATCCATGGTCGAGGCCTTTCGGTGCTCTGTTCCTCGGATAGTGGTTGGTATTATAATCTTGGGTGATTCATGCGTCTGGATAACATACCCAGTCTTAACTGGTTTCCGACGATTGTCATCCCAATTGGGTAAAAGTGGCGGAGTATTTCTACCTGCCTCTGGCTTTATAATATCCTCAATGACGGGTAACTCACGGCCGGGTGTCAGAACAGGCGAGTAATTAGCCTGAAGTTCTGGTGGTAGTACCTCGTAAGGTATAGATACGCTGAGTACATCTGGATCATATGCCACAGGTGTAGCGCTTGAGTCTTTACGTTCTTCGGGCGTAATTGCCTGTCGATGTTCTGTCCACTTCTGTAGGGCTTCAGTAATGCCCCGGAAAACATGCTCGCGTAAGTGCTGTGTATGTTTTCCTGATCTATATAATTGATCTACATGTTCGACAGTCAAGTCTTTCATTATGGTAGCTAACTGATTCTTAAGATCAGTGTTTTCAGTAATTAACTTACTTATGCGCGTTGGCTTAGTAGTCTCGTACGTAGATTCGGGTTTGCCACTCGAGCTTGCCTCCTCTTCTGGTTCCATATAGGTTCCTTCTAAGATTTGTCCTTGTCTCCTATAATTGGGGACTCCATTATAATTGGGGACTTTCCTTTCTGAGTTTCGTCAGAAGAATGGGTTGGGGC